AATTCGTTGTGCTTGTTTGTTGATCTTCACGTCTGTCTGTCTGTCTGTCTGTCTGTCTGTCTGTCTGTCTGTCTGTCTGTCTGTCTGTCTCTCTGTCTGTCTGTCTGTCTGTCTGTCTGTCTGTCTGTCTGTCTGTCTGTCTGTCTGTCTGTCTGTCTGTCTGTCTGTCTGTCTGTCTGTCTGTCTGTCTGTCTGTCTGTCTGTCTGTCTGTTGAATGCAAACCTGTTATTGTTCAAACTGTGTATTTCGAATGTCTTGCAACCCTGTTATTGGAGAACTAATCTCTGTGATAATTCCAGCCATTCCATCTATTATTATGTAACTAATTTGTGTAATACGTGGTAAATGGCAAAATTTGTCAAATAAAATAGTGAAATTTGCATGCAATTAGATGCTTTATTAAACTCCTAATAATGGGTTTTCTAAAGGCCATGTTACACCATGCAAATTTTAGCAATGTCAAAGAAGCATGGCAATCATGAGTCTTCATTACACTCCGCTGACGTTTCATTTATAACATCTCTGAATTGTCTCTGAATTGTCTGATCTACATGTATGATCTTATACGCAAGATTTTACTGCGTAAGGTACGATTGACAGAACCGTCTTGTCTATAAAAATCCCTGTGTTTCCAAGCAAGCAAGAACACGCTTGTGGAATGATTCCGGCACTGTTATAACATTTTTGTTCCGTAATGCGATTGCTTGTCTCAAAAATAAATTCTTTTCTTCACCACTGTTACTGATGATACTGACTGCATCAATGCTCATTCTGTTCTTTGAATATAATAGTTCATATTTGAATTGTTCCATTAGATTAAGCCAGTGTCCACTGATTTTGGTACCTGGCTCTAGATTCTGCAGTTCAGAGTTTTTTCCAGGAAAATAAAAGAGCCAGTATGGATCCTTTGACTCGGTATACACTGGCAGAACATATCCCTCATGATCACGGCAGCTTTCAAAGTTTCCATTCAAAGACTTCCATGCATCTTCAGTAAAGTGCTTCTTGCATTCCGAAGTTAGCAGCAGAAATTCATAGTCACTGAGTTGTATATCAGTAACCTCTACATCACTCTCCTCCAATATTGCTTTGCCAGCCACCACTTCATCAACCCTGTCTTCATCCACAACTTTGCTCAGAGCATGGCGGGCATCCTCAGAAATTACAATGCTGTTAGTAACTTGAGCATTGCAAGAGTTATCCTTCGGAGTAAGGCAAAAAACAATGTTTTCCTGGTGAGCCATTATTGCCTTAATTTGGTCCACCCCATAGCTGCTTGGCTTTTTTACTTGTATGCCCTTAGGAAGGCCTGTAACAGTGAAACCTCCTTTGATATACGGTACTCTGCACCCAGGTATACCAACAGCATCACCTACAAGTAACATAAAGTGATAAACACAACAAGATCATTGACAGTCTAAAAATGTAAGATTTCAAAACAATTTAACAGTCGCTCATTAGAACGTACACTTGATGGGTAACGTAATATACAATGTCAGGTGCGGCAAATTCGATCCTCAATTCCCAGACTTTTGATAATTCAAATAGTCTAGCTGGCCTTACCATGCCAGGGTAAATAAAGTTGAAATATTTTATCCCCAACGTTAAAGAAATCAACCAATCGTCCAATACATCCTTTTCGAATGTATTCTCCCCTGCATGTATTTTCAAATTTAGTTTGTCTACATTCTAGCCATAAAAGGTAGTTAATTAATACTCTGACTTTTAGGTGTGCTTAATAATAATTTGCTTTCATGTTTCGCTTGCTACTCTGGTTTAAATAAATGATTACAAAGCCCAGGCGAATTGTAATGAATTGGGTCTTGATTACATTTTTACTGGGCTTTGCAATCATTTATTTAAACCAGTGTAGCGAGCGAAACATGATTGGTATACCTGGTTGCAGTGAACGAACAAATTTAATAATTTGCTTAAAGGACATTGGCAACCAAAATTTTTATTGCTTCATCTGAAAGAGCATGAAAATATAAGCCGGTTGGCCGTTTAATGCCCTATTCTATCTCATCTAGTTCCGAAGTTATACGCAAAAATGTGCAGAATATAAATTGTTGATTCAGCACAACGTGTGACGTCATTAGTTGGGTAAGTACGTTAATTGAATAGTAAACTAAAGCATAGCAAAGTTATTATTGGCTCAAATCAAATGAAATTTTGCATACAGATAGTACATGATGAGACACATGGGAAAATACTTCTAATTTTGTTGTCAAGGCAACACAGTCGTTCCCAGGCCCCTTACACTGATTTTGAATAACTAGTTGCATTCATCTATGTGTATGTCATTTTCGAATTATTATCATGCAAGTAAACATTTGGCATGCATAGGTATGGTACACATACTTCTGATATTATTTTAACCTTATCAGTACCATGAATAAAGCTGTCTTATAAAATTGGCGCAAGGGGCCTGGGAACGACATTGTTACCTTGGCAATAAAATTAGGAGCGTATTTTAATGCGTCTCATCATTTACAATCAGTATGCAAAATTTCATTTGATTTGGGCCCATAATAACTGAGCTATGCTTCAGTTTACTATTCAATAAACATGCTTACTCAACTAATGACGTCACACGATGTGCTGAATCAGCAATTTATATTTTGCACATTTTTGCGTATAACTTCGGAACTAGATGAGATAGAATAGAGCATTAAACGGCCAACCGGCTTATTTTTTCATGCCCTTTCAGATGAAGCAATAAAAATTTTGGTTGCCAATGTCCTGTAAAGTCCGTAATGTAAAGTCCGTAATGTAAACAAACGCTTTGTTTGCATTTTGAACTCAGTGCTACATTTGTAAAATATGATTAGATATATATTATACTGAATTTTTAACATTCTTCTGGTTCGCTATGGTTTTAAATGAATACAGACTAGAGATTCAATTCAAGAAAGTTCAAAAGATATGAAATATTAATAACATTCCAACGGTCGGGTCCCGACCATTGGAATGTAAGCCTGCACAGAACATATGCGCAGAACGGACTTTACATGGTCTTTAATGATCGATGCATAATTCCTACAGGTATATTCTTTAACCCATTAGAGTGCTAGACTCTCCCCTTGATGAGTAAAATCATCTCGTGTTAGACAGAGTAAAATCATCTCGTGTTAGACAGAGTAAAAGAATAAAGTAGGGTGCTTTCGGGCGCGCTGCAAATGGTTAATGCATCGGGCGCGCTGCAAATGGTTAATGCATTAACTGTTATATAAAAAATACTCACTGTATTTCTTGTTGAACAGAGCTTGTACATCTGCACGGGTGTAGTTGGTGCTTTGGTTTGTTGGGCAATCTAAAATGTATGTATACAAATATACACATTAGGCTAATGTAATTTATTTACATTATACTGTAATATACATGTTATATATTTAGTAAGTGTCAGCATAGTTAGTAGAGTGAGAAGGTTTGGAAACTCAACAAAGGTTACTGTTTATGTTTTTGTTCAGTTACAGTATGTTGCTATGGCATAAAAACTGGTCATACAGTACCAAAGAATTCTGCAAACTTCAATGATATTGCTTGATTTTGTGAAAGGAACTTGCATCCATTATGTGACCCATATTGTTTGACTATGCCATTATCTGGTTCTACCATGACAACTGCCAATTCACACCCAAGGCTTTCAAGATAAGAAAGCTATTAAATGGGAAAGAATATACATATAACCTTTTGGCTTTTTTATCCCAAAATATGTCGGATGCGTGGAATTTACATGTACAGCTAAAGTTCTTCATGCTTTTGAATACTTTGGCAGGTTTGCTAGTTATTGCTAGAAGGAAAATGTAAGTACGCGAATAGCAAATTTCCGCGTGCCTACGTGGTACTTGCCTAAAAACAAAGAAGTACAAGACCATAAGTTTGGCGTATCTCCGGTACGTTGGTACACAAATTATCGCACCCTGTTAAATATATGACCTTACTTACTAGATCGATTACTAGATCGATGCTAGATTACTAGATCGACTTAATTACTAGATCGATGCGCTACCATCTGTGCTACTGTACACAGTCAGGACGGATGGAAGACTATATGTATATATATATATATATATATATATATATATATATATATATATATATATATATATATATATATATATATATAGGGACAAGTTAGGATGCGGATGTGGGACACACAAAAAGTATTATAAAAGAGACAAGTACAGTAAGTCATAACTCGAATACGCATGCGTACTACATGTCGTTGTTTGGAAGCAGCGTGCAGAGCCATGAATGCACATGACTTTAGTGTGTCCTGCTCACATTAGCAGCTGTGGACAGCTATTTCGCCCATCAGCACAGCTGTAAGCCCCCCCTGAATATAAGCCCCCAGAATATAAGTGTGCTGATGAGCCCCAACAGGGCGAAACAGCTGTCCACAGCTGCTAATGTGAGCAGGACACACTAAAGTCATAGTCCGTTCATTGCTCTTTACGCTGCTTCAAAACTACAACATGTAGTACGCATGCGTATTCGAGATATGACTTACTTGTCACTTTTATATACGATATATATACGATATATATATATATACGGATGAAACAGACTGTTGTGGTTTTTTGAGGTAAAATGAAAAACTATATTTCGCTCTATCTATGTGGTATTGAGCACTGTTTGTGTTTCGTTGAACCAAAAATTTAAGCTATATATATGCTGTAATAGGAACATGCTTTTATACAGTATACCTCGTTCATTAGATTTTTTTTTCCTTTTGCGATTTGCTTTTTTTTATCTTCTTCCGTTAGCATTGAAGGCTTGATCCTTTGCAATTTCTTAGCCTCATTCTTCCACATAACACATTCACTATCACTTAGTGATTTCCACTTTGAAGCAACATAGCTCATTTTTTCTGCCTTAGAATCAATTTCTTTACAAGCATCTACAATATAAATGCAATCATAAAAACATCCATTGCATATTAAATGTCAACTTGACATTGGAATACTCTACTGTACTTAGCTGACCTCACTAGCATTTTTTAATAGCTTTACCTAGTGAGGTCAGCTAAGTTGCAGCACTTGAGATCAAGCAATTTGCAAAAACATATCATATTACAGTACCTACATGTAGTGTACAGCATTAATTACATCATATTTATTACAAATCTTATAATAGGTGGTTGCCAAATCTTTCCACTCAACAATAGTTTTTCACTAATTCATTTTTGATTATTAATTAACTCTCAATCTCAACATCGGTTAAATACCCCATTTTCTGTCATGCTGGAATAAACTGGGTAAATTAAACTGGTAATATTTGGTAAAAGTATGAAATACCCCTTGGGTTAATTGAAATTTTATTATCAACATTTTGTGACGACAAGAACCAATTGCAACATTTTTAACAAAGGCTTTTCATCAACAAGTATTAGAACTACTGTACTGTGGTTCTACTAGTTGATGAAGGGCCTTTGCTTGAAATATTGAAATTCATTCTTCTTGTATTACACTGTAAATAGTTTACTCATTTTGAACATTTCCTTTCATGTGATTTATGATTAGCATGCCCTGTTTAAGTGCAGACAATTACTCCTAGAGGTGGAAGACCTGCCTGATCTGACCGTGCCTGGGCAGATTTCAATTAACCAGTTGAAAATGGCAGAACAGGGATATACAGTAACTGGCACGGGTTGTTGTACACAAACCAACTGTGAATAAACCATCTTAAACATGTGTTAAAATAAGTTATTGAGCATCTATTAGGAAAATTATAATTATAATAGTATCTTGTACCTGAACTCAGCATTTTTGATGTAAATATGTTGTAACCTGAAGACATGCGCTTCATGGGAGGACCTTTCACATCAACACTTTCTGACAAATTTTCATCCTGCATCTGTTCAGCTAATGTTCGTTTTCTTCGCTCATTTCCAATCCATTTCTTCAACAAATAAGTATAAATAGGTTTCATTAAAACATAAAATGATAATAACTGCAATATACTAATATTACAAACATTCAGCAGATTTTATACAAACATTCTGCATCACTTCCCCAATAATTCACTCCCAACTCACAGTTATCTCACTTCCAACATAAAGTTGTACAACGTATCACCCTGCATACTCATTCAAAACATGTACCTCAACAATCAAACACAGAAACAACTTTCAGTAACAGTTACTGTAATACTGTAGGAGCTAAAATGACTTTGGGGCAAAATGAACATCACAGATACCAATTGACAATATACTGTATTTTACACTACATGGAGTACAGATGGTACTGATCACAAGACTCAGATCACAACACTTTATAATTATTATTTTCAATGCTACAAAACGTTGAGAAAGTTTAAACAGGTCATTTTTTAGCCATACAGGTTATTGCAATTATGGTGGTGATGTATGGTCAGCCATATTGATATTGAAATTTCAATATTTCATTATTGATGAGCACAAGGAAGTCGCACGTGTACGACGTATTCTATGCAAATATAATGAAATAGTAAAAAGAAAGGGTGCTCTTGCACCGTTCCTGTCAAGTAATACTTTGAATCGTTTAACGTCTAATTATCAACTTTACTTTTCGAACATTTCTTCACGTGAGTAATTAATAATAACTAAAATAATCGTCATTGATTCCTCGTTGAAAATTTGCTATAAATATTTATATATATTTCGTATAAATTTTTCCTTGCTTATTCGCATACCTTAACCTTTTCGTAACTGGTTCCCGCCTGATCAGAAGCTTTCACGATTAATTCTCGCTTGTCCTTCGCTGTGGAGTTCATTCCATCGTCGTAAAAAGACTTTAACACACGCTTTTGCTCATCGGTCAAAACATCATAATTTCTTGCAGCCATTTTGACAAAATTGAAAAAGACCTTACTAGATCCTACCTGCGATCAGGCTCCTTCACCCTCAGAGCATCAGGTCAGATTGCTCAGGTGATCATCCGGCTCACATATAAGTGACGTTCTAAAATTTAGAACTCTTGCTATATGTGATTTAGAACACGAGGAACGGGTGTTATTTAACCCATTAAGCTGCAGAGTTTCCTGTTGACGAGTAAAATCGTCTGGCGTTAAACAAGTAAAAAATAAGTACAGGTACTGGGCCGTGATGGGTTAACTAGAGAGGTTGTCATTGTTTTTGGTTAACCCATTAAGCTTCAGAGCGCCGAAGAGGCTAAAGCTGGGGGTCATACTACCATTTTTCGCTACTAAGAGTGTAGTAAAAAGTTGCGCAAAAACGAAAAAGTTGCTCGAGCCGAAAAAGTTGCTCCAAACGCAAAAAGTTGCTCAAAAGTTGCCTAGCACAGTCGGGACGTAGATATGCCTAGCAGAGCTTCCCCGTTGACGAGTGAAATTGGTTAGGAGTATAAGGTTAGGAGTAGGGCTAGTGTTACAGTGCTGTAGGAAGCTCTTTCCGATTGAGGAGCTGAAAGGAGGGCCAGAGGCCCGAGGAAATTTTTAAATTTAGATTGTCTGAAATGCCATTTCCTGGACTTTGGGGAAGATTTGACAGAATTCTGATGGTCAAAAGCAGCATTTTAGTATGTCGAAATAAACAATTTAGTAGCACTAAATGGGCGAAGGCGTATTTAATTAACTATATATTGGATAAGTTGCAGCAAACTATGAGAAATATCTTCATTCTTTGCAGTTTGTCATGGGTAATGTAGCCGCTTAAAATTAATCAATTGTCAGTACTTTAAAGGTATATTATTTTTATAATAAAGGTCTGAACGATTTTGGAAAAAGAATGATTAGCAAATTATTGGGGGGGGGGGGCTGCAGCCCCCGGTTGCTACGGCCCTAGGTTAGGAGTAGGGTTAGGGTACTACGTCAATGAACTACAAAGACCGCTAAACAGCTAGTGACTTGGACATTTGACTCAGACTCGGATTTGACTCGGACTTGACACGGTAAACCAACAAACTCCTTACTAAATTGAACCATGTATAAAATACCTAGTATAAACTAGTGTATATAGTATATGCCAAACTTTCCCTGGACGTGATGTTGCTACATCACTTACACGTTAATTATCTTTTTTATTAAAATGTACATATTAATTGGAATATGACAAAAATTTATGGCAAGTTCATGGCAAAAGTTATAAAGGTAGATGTTCGATTATTTTTCATATTAGCTGCGCGCATTGCATTTTGGGTATTTGTGCATTGCATTTTGTGTCTATCTGATGATTAAAATGGAGAATTTTGCTAGCTATACATGAATTAAATTTGCTGCCTTGCTCGCTCCCTGTGGTAGCAATAATCGTTACATGTCAAATTTTTCTCCACTATAATACCACTATAATAAATAACTGGACCGCCCTTCTGAACCAATATTTGTAGGTGGCCCCCCTTTCTCAGTCAAAAATACCTCATGACCCACCCCCTTTTTTGCCAGCCCACCCCCAGTCATAAAATAATGAATGGTCCCTTATGCTCAGCCTCCTCAAATAATTATTTAATGTTCGTTGTTGAATCGTATAGTTCCTGATGGAAAAATGCTTACTCTGCCAAATGGAGTACGTCTCTCATTTGGTAACATCATCGCAATGGCAGGAGACTACTATGGCAAACCTGATGCGCCCATAATAAACCATTTATGTCCGGAGAAGATCGATGATGGGGCTCTTCAAAGATTCAAGAATGCTTACAACGATTTGGCGGTTACTCCAAATGAGGGAAAATATAAGGTTCGATTTACTGTAAAAGTTAGGGCTATAAACCAGTATTTATTGTGCAGCTAAGTTGGACGGCATGTTGCCCAAACGCGAATATGTTAAAGCGCAAGGATCTCTGATGGTAATTTTATTACCAATATCTGAATACAAATTGGTTTCTGAATGCAAATCTCGATCTCATGCATGCAGAACTAACATAAACGATTCACAATATTTTCTCGTGGTCCCTCCCTGATACCGTTAGAAAGGCAGAGACATTAAGTTCCTTCAGGAATAGAATGATGAAATACTTATTTGATTCATGATCTTATTGATGCGCATAAGTTTCTATTGCTTGATCAGATATACATTAATATTCCCATATATTTAATTCAATTTAAAGTTTAAAGGAGACATCCTCTTCATATGGTTTCTGGGTGACTCCTTGCCACTGACATCATGAATCAATACCTATATTTACTATACCTTTGTACTCTATACATAGTTATTTATGTTCTTGAATTATGTAAATGGTGTTGGTGGCGAATTAAATTATTGTTATTATTATTATTAGTATTATTATTATTAAGTTGCGAGGAAGAACGAAATGTACTCTTCCTCATAATTAATATAGCTCTGTCGACTTACACTGGCAGACACTAGTGTAAGAGCAAGAGGTGTAAGAACAAGTGCGCACATCTGCAACCGATGTAATTGCATCATTAAAGTTTCAATCGACCGGAACCATTAAGGGTGGGGAACCACATGACATGTGAGAAAAAATTAAAGTTGTTTAATTAAATCGCGGTTTTATATATTGTCCAAATGCGCATCATGGCGTCAGCCTTCTATGGGCCGAAACAAGTCGACAATCAGGCCGTTAGGCGCAATTACTGTCTAGATATGGAAAGATGAGATTAAGATTTACATAATAAATTTAAAGTGCCCTATGCGAGAATTTTTTTATGATTGAATTGCAAAGTTAATTTAAAATCATAATGTAACTTTTTTTCTAAAACTTTGTTATCTTTCTTGTATTGACTTAAATGACGTCACACGGCATAATGTGTTTTACAGAAGACTGTTTTTAGCTTGATAAAAATTGTCATTAACTCAAATTTTCAGACGAGATGATAGTTTTGATACTTCTTATTAAAGTATATGATTTTAAATGTCAGTGGAATTATCACATGTTTGGCAAGGAAACGTTTTCTTTCTAAAAACTCATTATGCAGTGTGACGTCATTTAAGCCACATTTGCATATCGAACAAAGTTGAAAATCTTGACATACAGGAAAGATAACAAAGTTTTAGAAAATAGGTTACATTATGATTTTAAATGAACTTTGCAATTCAATCATAAAAAAATTCTTGCATAGGCACTTTAATAGTCATTCTTTTTCCCCTAAATTCCTTTTTGCACCCCATGTAGTTTTTTGCAGTTAATAATTAAACTAAACTAGCTTGGTTTTAGCCACACCTGAAACTTAAAACAGTCGTACATAACATTTTGATTTCGCACTGATCTGGATATGGGACGGGCAGTTCCGTCATTGAACCCTCAACTTTGGCGCAGTGGAGTTCCTTTTTGGTGTATGGGATTTGAAAAAACAACTGGATCTATCCATACTAAGTTCAGAGAAGTGATCATGATTCAACAGTGTATAAATGTTATTTAAAACCTAAAATATAAGAGATTTATTTCTATATAGAACAGTGCACTGATGTGGTTAAATATTTTATAGCATAGTGTATTTCCTGCAGAAAACACGAAAAGCAAAAAATATTTATTTTTATATAACTTCCAAGAACTCAACATACCAAGTTAAATATTATGCTAAGTATGTATATATATGCAAGACCACTGTCACCGCGTGTTGGCCAGCGGAGGCTCTAGAGTACGTTCAATAAGTCGCCTGACGTATGTTTTGGCAAAGAAATAATTAATTTTTTCTCGAAATTTGAAAAATTAATTACCTTTGCGTTTATAATAGCTAACAGCGGTAAAACGCAAGAGTCTCGCAGAATCGAGTCGTCTATTATGCTTATTAAATTAGTCAAGAGACCATTTAGAATGACTGATCTGGACTGATATTTGGGGTAGATCTGGACTGATATTTGCGCCTTCTTAAGGGAGTCATTATTAGTCCATTTCCTTCAATTTGTTTGGTTGATTTGAAAGTATTGACAATTCCTATAGGTAGCTAGATTTTTTGGACTGATTTGGTCTGGGAGTATAAGTCCTTCGAAATTGCGAAATTCATGCAAAGCAGTCTTTCTACTTTTAATCTTGTATTCCTGTATGTGCAGGCTTTTCATAGCTACGATATCGAGTATTTATCGGTACGCAGCCGTTCGAAATGCTATTATACGAAACGATTTAACGGCTCTTAATATCAATTGTCTCTCAATGAGGATTATCGTGGGGCAGCGAAGATATCAAGCGAGCAGCTATCATAATGTTGTTCAACAACAAAAAGGAAAGTTGTCCAAAAGGAAAGTGTACGTTGTCACCAGGTGGTGACGTCATTATCACGTCATCATTAGCCAAATTCTCCAATTTCTATAATATGAACAAATATTTCTAATGTATATAGCTAAAACCATTGTTTTGCAATGTTTCATTAATTTCGATAATGAAGTGGAACAACTAGAGTTAAGATTAATAAGTGTGAAAAGGAAGATTTGTCGAGAATATATGTGATTATCATAACATATATCATAAGAAATTTTGTGGACTTTTATTGAAAATGTTTATTAAACTTTATTTGGAAAATTATTGCATCAATTGATCATTTGAAGTATTCTGCGCATGTTATTGGAGAGGGACTTCTCCAAAGGATTGACTTACAACTATACACAAAACAGCACACGCATTATATGCGTGCACACACTTAATATACAATATTTCACGGCATGGTTTACTTTCCAGGCCCCGTTGAAGATATATAAGAAATCCATTAAATAAATAATGCTTACAAGTAAGTCACAAACGAGAGATCCCAGACGCATGTAGAGGTCCTATTACCTACAGCATCCCAAAATTAAAATAAATCAGAAATAAATCACGTAAAAATTAAACAAAAGTCAGAAAGTAACGAAATACTCGCCACAAATTGAAAATAACGAAGTAAAACGTTTCTTCTTAAAACGACTTTGTTCCAAGTAAAGTACTCCAGAAAAAATACTTTGTTACATGCTGACTTCTCAAAAATAGTACTCAAGTACAGTCACGTAGTACATTTACTTCGTTACTTGACATCACTGGTTGTAGCCCCCAATCATTTTTTAATCTGGCAAATCTTATTTAATAAATACGGTGTATTTTGAGCTTTTTGAGCGTTTTAATCGTCGCAAATATTGTGCTGCAAATTATTTTATCGCTGTCGACGATAATTTATCAAAAGTAGCTATTCATTATCTATTAATTATTGTATTTTAAAGTATTAATTATGGTATTTTAAAATATTGTGAAGAAATAAAAATATCATCTGATGACAACACAATTATTTTCAAAGGAGCGACTAGACAAACTGCTAAAATTGCTGGCTGAAGATGAGCAAAACGCAGAAAAGCCAGGAAAATGTTTCCACAGCGATAAAGAATGGGATGGTGCCACAGGTGGCGTATGGGTAGCTGGGATACCAATCATTCCAGGCACTTTGTTGAAACTTGCTGAACATAATTACGATCATTTTGCGCCTCAGGCCAAAACAGCCTACGTTGTTGGACATGGATATGCAATTGAGAGAGGTCGTGAAGCAGGTACGTAAAGTGTTAATGCACTGTTTTAGCAATGAGTGCGCGGAATTAATGCGGAGTGGGATGTTTTTAAATTCTATTTAAAACTTTCTTTTTCGATAATATCCCCATTAGCATAAAACTGCTTTCAATGGGCTGCGTCTGGACTATACGTATAAGGCAACTACAATCATTGTCAATTATACAAAACCGTAACTTGAATAATAACTGAATAATTATTATGATATTTGCAAGGTAGATATTTACAAGGTCGCGAGAACTGGATGGTCTATTGACTTAAACCATTTCTATAGGCATAAATTACATTTCATTGGCGAGGGTACTAAATTCCGGCTTAGTCGGTTATTTACTGTACATCCGGGGAAAGGAAAGCATTTGCGAAGTCTAAAGTTCATCAATAATCGCGGCGCATGGCTATGCATTGGTGGTCATCTCACCAGCTGATCTAAAAAATATAGCTGTTTGCTAAGAATGAAGGAAGCAAAGAAAAATTATATTATAGATTAAAAAAAGCATGACGGAAGGCCTGGAAATCGTTTCGCACAATAAGTTGTAAATCACCTTTTTCAAATTTCAAGGTATATGAATGACTTTTCATTGCTGTTCATTTCCGCCTGGAAGCACTGAAAACGTACAGCTTCCCTTAAACTTCATTATATGCGAAAGTTTCTTTGAATTAATCCAAAAAAGGCGTTCAAACATGATGTAAATTAATTTTTTTTTTATCAATGTACGAGTAATAAGTTGAAGAATTTATCGGCAAAAAGCAGTTAATTTCAGTGAACATTTAAAATCGTTTTACAGAGCGTTTCATGATGAATTTTACATTATAATAAAGCCCATGCATAGAATGCAAAATGACATACCTATTTTATATATCTGAGAAATCCGTAGTTCTGTTGTTAAAAGTGTAAAACATTAATTTATTTTTGCTGTTTGTAAAAAAATATTTAATAACAATTAACAATGATCGTCTTGCCACAGGCTGCATGTCAGTTTCTATGCTTAAAATAGGGCCTGCTACTGAAGTCAATAAAAAGTGGATCGAATTAGTTTATAGACTGACTCTATAAATTATTAAACTGTTCACAATAAAATTCACGTCAATTGATCTCATGCAGCTGTGGAATTTATAACACATCTGGAATTTAAATATATAATATGTCCTCTTCAATCTCTCTTAATAACTATTTAGTATGTAATTCCTGGCCGTTTAATAAAAATTGGAATATTTATTTTCGAGATATTGGCGGGAAAATTGGCCGTTATTCTCATGTTTTAAATTAGCTTTGATAATCTAATTAATAATCGCCGTTTTGATTGGGTGTTATTTTCGTCATCCAAATCACTGTCCACTTTTTATTGTCCACTCTTTTCAAGCATAGAGCCAGACAAATGCACAAGCTAGTGTTGCCATGGCTAACATGACGCGAGCAACGCAAGCCTGCCTTCAGTACGTGTTGGCATAAATAAGAAAACCTTATGTTGAAACAATGTTTGGGAAAATGTGGGCGAGGGGTTGTTGCGTACAATTATTTCTCCTTTAATTTCAATTCAATTTGTTTATCTTACATTCATTTGTAAATCACGGCGGGAAATTTGAACTAGTTTCCGTCCATAAGAAGCCTGCGTTATGTGCTTGCCCGCGGTTTGTAAACGCCCTACTTAGTGGTAGTATCATCATAATATATAAGACAATATGGCTGACCACAAAGGCGAATCTGAGCTCAGAGAGAGTAATTTTGATGAGGTAGAATTAAACAAAGCTTTAAAGGAGCTACAAAATCTGGTAGTCTGTTGCCAAAAGCCATTTTGGAGAATTTCGCTATCGTTTAACTTTGGTGTGGGGGATTTTTTTCGCATGGCAAATTAGTGCATGGTATGCAATGAATGTCAACACGATGTAGTGTTAGAAATCCTTGGAAAATAGTTCTTGATGTTGGTTTTCCTGTGGAGATATTTTGAATTCTCAAAGAAATGGTTAAGCCGTTAAGGAGTCAAATTTTGTCGCATATTTTCACGACTCCTGGCTTTCATGTCTGATGGCTTTTACATCTCGTCTTCCTGTGGCCAATTTATTTTTGCGGTTAACGCAATCTGACATGCCAAGAGAAAATTTTTTAACAAATATTTTAAAAGAATGAAAAGGATTGAGGCCATTATCTCTGATGAGAAGCAGTTTGGAATTGTGTATAAATATATAATTACGACAAAGAAGAAATTCACCATTTTCCCATGGCTTTTGGAGTGACAATATATGGCTTCCCACAACACTTGTAACGAAAGGTGCCGGGCATTTTACGTGACTATGGCAAGGAATATGTATAGTCCGCGAAAACACTCGAGTATTAACATTAACAATAGGGGGATTCAAGGTTTCCGACGCCATAGCAAAACACAATAGTGCAACGGGTGCAAACATAATGGAATTCTCTATAGGTAAATTTCAGAGGGTGCAAACACAATGGTGAAAACAATAGATTCAAGATGGCGTCGAAAACTTTAAACCCCCCCTTTTAACTGGGTAGGTTAAGTCTCGGAGTGGCCGAGGTTTGGTTCAGAGTAAATAATCAAGAAATCGTACGGCTGTTTGAATTGTGTCAGTCTGCCATTGCATCTTAATTTTAATTAAGTTAAAATGAAAACGGCAGACAGAAAATAGACTCCCTTTTATAATTGTTGTAATGTTGCTAACAGCAACAGATTTAACAATTTTAGACATAAATTCATGATTGCAATAAAAGAACTTCTTATATCTGTAGAGCTCTTTCTCATCAAACAACAGTTGAAGTTGGATGAATCTGTGCCCACTCTGCCAAAAACAGACGGTTTCTGAAGTGACAGGCATACATTTCTGACATAATCATGCCTAAAAATCATGTGCTTCCTATTTCTAGTATGACTGTGCTTTGCATAGGCAAAAATGTGCACATGGTTGCCTTCGCGTCTCTTCATAGTGTTAACACCAAGCGTTACCCTATACTTCTCAAACATCCACTTGGAAGGCGCAGCGACAACCTTGCCAATATTCCATTAAAAGGGGAAGGTGAATAGCCGAATAGAGACAAAGCAGACCAGTATTAATTCATGAGGTCGCCAGGAATAATTTCTCAAATTTATCATCAGAGAAATGATACATCGAGAAAAGCGAAATAGACCAACGAAGCCTTAGAGCAATAAACACAATAATAATGAGTTTGTGTAATTAGTTTAACAGCAGTACTGTTGCCCTTGATGGCACTCACCAAATTCATAAAACCAAGCAATATAAGCCTACAATCTTTACCTGTGAATCGATAAGTAAACTCTTATCATGTGTGCGTTCTTCAAATAACCACTTTAAACTAATTGCTCTTTCTTCAAAGAACCACTTAACTAACTAGTGGCCTTAACATCAACTTCCAGAGGCACCAAATACCTCCTAATACTACACTGATCTCATGCATGTATCAACTTTATCTGTTAGAGAAGTAATGTTGGGGGCAGATTGCTATTGTATAGCAAGAGTTAATTTCAGAAGTTGATTGTATAGTTTTGCACTGCATTATTTTTTAGATGCAGTGGTTCAAGAACTGCTTTTTCACAAAGTGGACCAATGAGAGGTTAAAACTCTTGATTTAAGATTAGCAATCAATCGTGTTGCCTTTTGTTTCTGTGTAATAGCTGTTAGCTTATCTGATATTTTTGTTTAAACTGAGATACTTTGCACGCTACGTCAACTGGTATTATAGCTCCAAGGTTTCCACTTGCAGTCCAAGGTTTTGCCAAATTTACCTTGTAAACACGAAAGATCACTTGCAGACACATTTGAAAAAAAACTAGAAAAGGATGTGACTGAGTTGGACAGTTCGCCATTTTATGAATGCCACAAACTTCAAAACCAAATTTAACTGCCATGATACACAAATGATATGTTTTGCACTGGATAGCATGACATTTCTCCGCAAGAGATTTACACAATTCTACAATAGTATCATGTGTTTCATTGCAAATTGCCCCAGACAACAAAAAATTATCATTAATACTAGTCACTCGAGAACTAACATTTGGAAAACTAACCAACTATGAAACAGATTCATCCCGTTTCCCGTTTCTCAATTCTTCAAATGAACGCAATTGCTTCAACTCATTGTATGAAGCGATTTTCTAAATATCTTTTTGGAATCACTGAGGATGTCCAATCACGAAACCTTGGATCATAGCCTCGCGCACGTGACAATTGATGAACTTCAGACTTCGCTTTCCTTTATTCGGGTGTAAATAGCAGAGCGCAATTTTTTTATTTAAACATATTTTGGGAAATTGAGTTTGCCCCAAGAGCGTACACACTCATCTAGGGGGCTTTCTCGTTAGAAATTAAAAAATACACTGTCACGCACACACGGTTTTTAATATTTGAAAACTAACACGATAGGTGTCAAGAATTATTGAAATAAAAACGTGCTGTTTCTTTAATATAAGTCTGAACATAAGAAAATATTGCCGTGTTGTGTTCCAACGACAGCATTTGAGAACCAAAGAGAAATATTTCTATAATTTGTTCATCCTTCAATCTTGACCACCCTTCGGGAAGTTTCTCGGCAGCGGAGGAGAACAGCTTAGACCTTTGGGCAGCAAATATTGGAC